ACGTACAGGATGTGGATGCGTTCTCTCTTAGATGTGGAGCACTAGAAGTATATTTCATTCAGAAAGGAAAGCACAAGTACACATAATGCCTCATATCCATAAATCCACTTTGGACTTCAGCAAGACATTTTATAATTATTCATTAAGAGAGGGAGAGGTACACGTATGGAGGAGTGATGTTGAATATCCTTCAGTGCAAACAAATCCTAGTGAAACCGTTGAACGAGTTTGAAGTGAAGACCTGTGATGAAAGTAGAATTAAAGCTTTTTAAAAGGTGCATTACCTGAGTACATGTGTGTCCCACGGCTGCACTTAAGCAGGCTTTCTGGAGGAAAGAAGAGGGTTCATTTGCTACCCTTTTGCAAGAAAGACAATCAAATATCTTCAAAGTGTAAGGCCAAGTCCTATCATACTAAAGGCCTAAATGCAAATCTACAGTTGTAACTATTTACGTCCACAATAGGCATGTTATAAGGGTCTGTGAAATACATTTAAGTATGGTTTGTGATACTCTCAAAAAACACATAGACCTGTAATCTTTGCAGCCAAATAGTAGCAAATATGAGAGCAAAATAAAGTCCATTGTAATCGTTTATAAAGAACATATTTAAGGAAAGAAGAGAACAGTCAGCACTGCAGAGGGTCTGCCACTGGAGTGCAGTGCTTCCCCAGTAGGTAGAGAGAGAGAGAGTTGAGAGAGAGAGAGAGAGAGAGAGAGAGAGAGAGAGAGAGAGAGAGAGAGAGAGAGAGAGAGGCTGTGTGTGGCCCCATTGACCGGCTGCAAATAGTTAAAGGGATAGTTTCAATGTTTTTCTGCTGCACCCACTAGCTTCCTTTCTAGCACTCCTGTCTGTTTCTCCAAACTTACCATGTACTCATCGTCGTCTACTACACTTATTGTATAAGTACCCTCATAAGACCCCACTTAAAAACATCCACTCTTTAAAGCCAGCGCTGACACGGTGACTTCCTGAAAGTTGATGAGTTTCTGGTTTCAAGCAGCTCAAACATCCAGGACGAAGTCAGAGGGCTGAGGGTTCTGCGAAGAACAACTCCACACTTGTGTTTGACAGCAGAGACTTCACACGAACAGGTGTGTTACAGCAGGGCCAGTGAGGACACTTTGTATATAAGAGACGATAAACAAGTGCTGCTTTCATAAATTCATGTAGCATCTTCTAACCTGAGCTAAGTGTCAAACAGACCTCAAAGGAATCTAAGAAAAGTAAAGAAATGTCTTGTGAGATAAAAAAAAAAAACAGTAAATTCAAGAGTTGATTTTCAATTTACACTTAAAATAATGCAGGGCATCTTCACTTAAGCTCTAAATGTTAAAATGTTAAATGTTTCTGTCCACTTTAAGAACTTATGTGTCATTATTGATAAGATAAGTTTGAGTTTTGTTGGTTTCATATTGAAGTTAATTGAATATTTCATATATTATCTTGCCTGCTGTTTAGAAAAACAATTTTTTGGACATTGATCACTTTGGGTTTTTGAAAAATACCCTTTTGAACATGAAAATTAGTATAATAAGGCCCCTTTAAGATTCAACCATTAATTTGTATTTAAAATGTCATTAAATCAAGAAATTTAAAGCAGGCTTTTGCTGAATTTAGTTTTTTTTGCTTTCACATTTCATCTCACCTACTGATTTAGACACATGGTTAAAACCTGAATGTGTTACTCATCAGATTAAAGGTATTCAGAAATAGTAGGTTTTAATACAAATTGAAGTATTAAACAGCAACTCATTCAGGACTGTTAAAATGTTTAAAAAAAAGCACACAAAATCCTTCATTCAGGTCATATTTAATGACAAAATGTTTGTTAATTATTCCAATGTGTTGGGAAAAAGAAAATCAAAGCAATGCATCATTACAATACTATCTACTGTTAGAGCGTCTCCTTCTGAGGGAAGTCTCTCTCCACACCTTTTCTGTTCCTGTTCACATTACGCCCTGCAGTCAACAACAGGGCTTCTGTTCCCACTCTCTGTGCGTTCACAATCTCTCGGAGAATCAGGGACAACATCTTAAAAACAAGACAAACCAAATAGGAAGGAAACATCCAGAAACACTGCTATCAGACACAGGCAGAGAGGTGTGTAGCAAAAGTACCTGTGTGGCTGAAATGGGTTCAAAACCCAGTCAATTATTATTGAAAAACTAAAAGGTAAAGCGTACTGGGACCACCCACTGGGTCAGATAGTATTTGCAGTAAAAATAAGTGTTTTTTTTAAATAAATCTTTATACCAAACGCAAACGTTCCTATGGTGACGTGCAAACTTATATATGTTTTTCTAGTCTTCTTTTTTTCTTGCTCTGTGAAATGTAACACTGAAATGCAGTAATCATAAATTAATATCTCTAAAAGGCAACAAAGCAGGTAGTTTAATTCTCACCTTTAAAACTCATTACGTCATCCTATAGGTCACAACCCTATACAACAAACGTAGAAGAAGAAGAAGAAAAGAAGCAGGAAGAACGAGGGCTTCAAAAAGAGTTCCTGAAATACCAGATCTCTAGGAATTGACTTCTGGATGCCAAAAAACACCTTTGTACGTCATGCAGGAATAAAGTTCTCTGCATTTGATTGGATTAGATTATCTAAATGAAATGTGATTTGACCCAAGTCTGGCTGTGGGGTCTGATATCAAGTTTAAGTCCTTAAAGTAGTAGAGCTAGTCAGGTCAACACTAACCTCCCTTCAGTCCATTAGAAGTTTCTGAACCTCCTCAGCCAATCAAAAGCCTGGAATAAGTCTTAGAAAACAGGTCTGGCTACCACCGGAAAAACAGCAGCCTTACCTAAGCAATATCTTAGAAGTCAATTAATTCATATTTGACTTTTCTTACGTGAAAAAATCCTTAAAATACTTGTCAAGAAAGCAAGCAGGGTTTGATTCTAAATCTAACGTTTTTGAGCTTTTTTTGGTACCAATTCCTTTTTGATTACTTAAAAATCCACCTAAATATGGACTAACAGGAAGTGGAGCAGCTCTACGATATGTTGCAGACAAACCAGGAATCTAACTGGAAGAAAAACTACCTGGCAACAAAACTCTGCCAGTGTCTGCGTGCACATCTACACCCTGTTCTCCAGTTATCGTCGCTTTGCAAACTGTTCATTCAGCTGCAGGTCCTTTCTAGTTTCCATCAAAGAAAAAGGTCACATAAATCTCTCTCGTCTAGACTTCCCCAGTGCAATTCCCGAGCGCTTGTGGTTCAGCTTGTCCACTATGGTAACTCCTTCCGTCATTACACCTTCTCATGAAACCACCTGTTGTAGAGTAAGTAAAAAAAAAAAATGAAACAAAAACGCGATAAAATCTAAAGAAAATCAACAAAATGGCTACTTTCAAAAAGGCATTTTTTTAGCTCGCCTTTTTGAGATTGAGCGTCGGGAGACTCATGGAGGTGGTAGCACAATCTGTGGTCACATGATCAATTCGGGGGGGTTTGTAGATGGGTTTGATGCTGCGACCCCCCCCCC